GGGGGCTTGTGTTGGTGCAAGGGGGAAGGAGGGGTGTGTGCTGAGGGGTGTGTGCTGGTGCAAAGGGGCTTGTGTTGGTGCAAAGAGGGGTTGGGTTGGTGCAAGGGGGAAGGAGGGGTGTGTGCTGGTGCGAAGGGGTTGTGCTGGTGGAAATGGGGTCATGTTGGCACAAAGGGAGCTTGTGTTGGTGCAAAGAGGGGTTGTGTCGGTGCAAGGAGGGGTGTATTGGGGCGCGAGAGGGAGGGGGACGACAGGCTGCCCCACGCTCACAACACCGCCCCCTGCCACGGGCGCTCATGGGCCCACCCCAGCCACGTGACCCAGGCCGCCAGGACCACATCTCCCAGCATGCCCCGCAACCCTCCCTCCAACTCCACCTCTCCCGCGCGACGGCCGATTCCATCTCCCGTCGTGCCCAGCGCGGCGGCAGCAGCCTCCATCTCCCGGCGTGCCCCAGGATGCGCGGACTTCATCTCCCGTCGTGGCTCGCGCAGCGGCGGACTTCATGTCCCGGTATGCCCCGCGGCGGCCCAGCCTTGGCACCGGGAGGGGGCGCGGCGCGTCCCTGCCCGTCACGTGACCGGTGAAGTTGGCCGTGAGGGGAGCGGCGGCGGTGGCGGACCCACAGCGCGGTGAGTCCGGCCCGGCCTGGCCCCCCCGTTCTTCCCCCCCGTGCGCAGCGCTGCCGGGTCTGAACCGTGCCGTGACCGTGTTGGGACCTCCCAATGACCGTTTTGGAGGAAAAACGGTCGCACGCTTAAAAATATGCAAATCAGTTTGCAAATAAGTCTTCCTGTGACTCGATATTGCTCCCTCCAGGCCGCTGACGAGGGACCCGGGATCTGGGCAGCCCGAGTTGACGTGTTTCTTTACTTCGAGGCTGGCGGTTGCAAGGAAGTGCAGCCAGCAAACCCCGAAATTGGGTTAAACCCTGTGAGCAACTTGGGTTTTGCATCTGTCAGCAGCCTCCGAAACTGTCGCATGTTTCGAACGCTTTCGCCATAACGGAGCAAGGGTTGAAACGATGATGGTACGAATACGGTGAAAGTCGTTGGCACTGGGGGTCCAGCCATGAAAACGTGGAGGCAGCCACGACATGGTCATGCCAAGGCGGTTTGGAAGGAAATCGGGACAAGAAACGTTCCCGTCTCCATGGGGTTGGTCTGGTGGGGCGTGCGGCGGGCGCGCGTCCAGCTCTTCAGCGTGGCCTTCCTCTTCGTTGTCTAGACGACGCGACGTCTGGGGCGGTCAGGGTAGGGGGGATGGTCTTCCCTTGGGTTGGCCGAGGCGACCTCTCCAGCCCTGCCGCTCTCAGCTTCGTTAGGTAGCAAGTCCTCTCTCCTCTTTCATATGGCATCAGGTATCGGCATCCGAATCGATGGCTGCTGTGTGGTATTACCGCTCAACGTGCAGATTTTGTCTACGCATTTGTAGAGAATTGCAGCATTTGATTCGGAGCCGTGCTGTTTGGGTGCCACTGCATTCACACGGGGGCTGTCCAAGAGGGTCATTTAACGAAGTGCGTCTTGCAGTGCCCACATCCAGGTTTTGCTCTGCTCGGGTCACGGACGACTGGTGCCTCTCGAGTTTGGGGGGGCACCAGATCGCCAATGGGGGGGGTCCCAGATCGGCAAAACCGGAAGTGCATGGCCGACCTCAGGGGATGCACGTGCACACCATATGTGTTGCCAATAGTTCAGCTTGAGCCGCGATTTTCTGTCAAGGTTGTATCTGATGGGGACCTCGTTTAGTGTTGTTATAAAACACTGTTGGGATAGATCTGACTTCCCAGTAGTCGGCCTGCTGCATTGCTGTCTGTCAGTTTGGTTCAGTATCCCCAGTCTCTTCCAGGATTTCACATACAAATGGTTTATGACTTTTGAGCCTCCTAAGCCTCCATCTGTCTTCAGTTAACAGGTGATGTGGAGCAGGTGACTTTCGTCATCTCTTGCCTCTATTGCCATGAGTGATGTTGTTACTCCTGACATGGTGCAAATGTGTGGAACTCTATGCTGCTTTGTCTTAAAGAACCCAAATTCTGCTTGTTCAATTTTTTTCCTCACACTAGTCTGCTCAACTTCAGAGATGCAGAATTGCAGAGAAGGGACCTCCAAAGGCCATGTAGCATAGCCCTCTGCTTCTGGGGCAGAACCATCCCTATCCGAACCATCCCTATCCAAACCATCCAAGAGAAACAATAATCTTAGATAATGCCTTCCCTACCAGACTTGTAACAGTGTGGGGTTTTTTGGCGGTTTTTTTGTTCTTGGTTTGGTCTGAAGTTCCCCAAAACAGTTTGTTGCATGTACTTCTGGAGAAAAAGCACATGATAGATGTAGGTCACCTTGGGGTTTTGGGGGGGAGGGTTTGCACTCTTGTGCTTAGATATGTAGCATTATTGTGAATGTAGTATACAGTATATATTCTATTTTCTAATATTCTAACAGAAAATAGTTTATATAATGTATACCACATTCAGTATATACAACACGATTTAGAATTGTCCATCTTGGAGCTCCAGGTTGGAAGATGCTTCATCTTCCCATATGGATATTGTTCTCCAGTAACACTTTGGTTTCTTATCCTACATTAACATGTTTACCATTTTTGGCCTGCTTTTCCTCTGATGTTTCTCACCTTGACATTTTTATAACAATAACTAGGACATATTTTGGCAGCAGTAACAATGTATGCCTTTCCCTACCTCTTGTATTCTAGTCTAGACCCAATTATAGTACAAAAGGCAAATGCTTCTGACGTGTAATATATTCCATTCTTTCCATGAAATACATGTTGTGAAACTAAACATGTCTTGGCAGAAGCCAAAGACTACCTGAGTCTTAAGGTGCAACAACTGGTGAAGTTTCTCCATCAACTTTGTTGGTTCTCCTATAGCCAGCCTCATTGGGTAAGACTTTAGTTTTAGAAGATAATCTAGCCAGTTGTCCCTCCTCTCAGTCATAACACTTGCCCCTGTTGACAGGATGTGTATTGAAGGAGCTGGATATAGCATGACGAAGAAGGTGAAGTGGAGGAATTCTGTATCCAAGTGACTGCATTTCATTGGAAGGCAAGATTAAATTTCCCTTTCTATCTTACCCCTGTCCTTCAGTGAGTGTTTTTTAAATAGGGGGTATAACTCATGGAAATCATAGAAAAGTAGGGTTGAAAGGAACTTCTGGAGGTAATCTAGTTCAATCATCATAAACAAATCCATTGTCTAACCCAGTAGTTCTCAACTTTTTAAGATGTGAGACACCTCCTGGATAGACTTGAGGTATCCCTTGGAGACTGTCAGCTTAGTTTTCACTCATTTTTTATGTAGATTAAAAAAAAACAACCCAGCAATTTTTCTGAGTTCTTTGTAGTAGAAAGACAACAACTGTAGATTTCTATTAGAGATTAAGTCTATTGGGTTTATATTGTGGATCACATTTGCAAATCTGAGAGTGTTAAAATTGTGTGGTACCCTGGTTGGCAATCACTGCACAATCACTATTAGCAAAACTACACAGTTAGCCCTGACGCAACTGCAAGACAACAACCTAACCTGCCTCGGGCAGCGAACATCTAGCTGCAAGTAAGGTTGTTAAAATATGCTTGGGAGATCCAAGGAAGAGGGCCACAGCCCCCGCTACAGAAGAAAGAACCCCCCCCCCCCCAAATCCATACCAATCTGACCAGGAGATAAAATTCCTTTCTGACCCCAGATGTGGCTATCGTGTGACTGCAAGGAGGGACAAGACCCTTTAGCCAGGAATCCCCAGATTCTAGTCCCAGCTGAAGCATTGGCATGCCTCAGTCAATATCCCCAGTTGCAGGGTTGCAGCCAACCCCAATATTTCTGAGGAAAGCAAACCCTCCCCCCCCCCCAATTCCTAATGCAGGTAGTAGCAGGAGGGAGAAAAAAAATCCTTCCTGGCTTCATGTGGCAGCCAGGAAACCCAGAAGCATGGGGAATACCCTTAGTAGAATGTAGGCATACCAACTACTCCTAGATCACTGCTTATCCAACCTCTTCTTGAACACCTCCCTCAGTGGTTAATTCCACAACTTCCCTAGACAGTCGATTTCACTACCTCACTCTTCCAACAGGGAAGAGAGATTTCCTGATATTTAATCTAAACCTGCTTTGCTGCAACTTCAAGCTCTTGGTCAGCTCTCTGCAGCAAGAGAGAAAAAGCATTTTCTCTCTCTATAGATTCCTGCAGATTTTTGAACACTGCTGCCATATCCCCTTAAGTGCTGTTTCTGCAAGCTGAACATGCCTGTTTCCTTCAGTCTGTCCTCATATGACTTACTTTCCAAACTCTTCATCATTCTTGTCACCTACCTCTGGAACCTCTTCAATTTCTCCATGTCCTTTTTAAAAGGTGGAGCCCAAAACTGAACATAATACTTCAGGTGAGACCTCACCAGTGCCAAATAATCTAAATCTAAAATAGTGCTGTGCTCATGCTGGCCTGTCTAATCGTCCAAAATATACCAAAAATGCTAGTGAAGAGGAGGGAAATAAAATGGGGTGATCCTAATGTATGAGTTCTTAGAGCTTCAATTTCCATTTTCAAATAGAATCATCAATTAAATCTTTAGTAATAAAGTGGTGGTGGCCTGAGGAGGTAGGTGTATTTCAAGAACAAGCCAGAGAGAGATGCTGAAGACTGTAAATTAAATTTTGAAGCAGTATCTGGTGCCCCTCAGATGATTCTTATCACCTGTCATTTTACAATGTGGGTGACAATGTGGGAGGTACAGACTACTTCAAGGGGTACAGGGTGAAGAAAAGGATCTGTGGGGGTTTGGAAGGCTATGGTTTAACTATGTAGATGTGCTGATGAGTCTATAGGTTAAATAAGTGGTTTTTTGAAATCACTGCATTTCTTCACTGCTTCTTTTGTGCCTCCTAATGCTGCAGGGCATTTTGTGTATGTGTGTGGAATTGTTGCCTCAGATATGGGATGTTAAGTAACAGGCTCCTATTTTGCTCATATTGCACCTATCCCGGCCTGCAGGGCAGTGAAGGATGCTTTTTCATCTCAGCAATGTGTAATTTTATGGCGGGGGAATGGGGATCAAAGTTAGAAAGGAGGAGAGGCATGCAGAAGGTGAATAAGGAAGAAGTCAGAAAATGCAAAAGCAGCAAAAAAGAGGATGAGGAAAGAAGTGCATAAGAATATGAATGGAAAAAAGTAGTAGCAGTAATTTTCAGGATGTGGTACCAGGGGCATCTGCCAGAGTAGGAAGAGAGGCACTGGAATTGCAGGACTAGATGCTGGTCTCCCTTGGTGTCCAATATGAAAAGCAAAAGAAATACCAAGATAGCAGGTCAAGATCCATCTTCAAAAACTTACTTTATCAACATTTCTTATGCATACATTCCCATGGACTCCCTAATCTGTCTTTGGAGATGTCTCTTTAACAATTCTGTTGTTAAGAGACATCTCTCATTCTTACCACAAATGCCACTAATTTTTTTTTATATATACTATAATTTGAAATAGGGAAGTAGGTAAACAGTTAGACTGTAATGCTGTGATCAAAGAATAAGAATAATCTATACCTCCATCAGAGCTCCACAAAAAGGCTAATAACATTTTGCAAATGAGTTTCACTTGAAATTCAGATGGGAATTAGAGATATTGTACATTAGGTGCAGGCTACAAAGGAAAGCCAAAAAGTGGGGAAAGGAGGAAAATTCAGGAGAAAAAGATTCCTTTTTTTTAATAGTTTAAGATCTTTTTAAATTTTGTTGTGTCGTTTTGTTTTGTTTTTTTAATGAGTTTCATTCACTTTTCACCCGGTTTCCAGCAGCAGACTGCAGGGTCTTGGTGTATTTGTTTTTTATTTTTAAACAGAGATGAAGCAGCAGCTTTTAGGGGTTCTGGGTGGCATTGTGAGAATTCTTGGTCCAGTTTTCCAGCAAGTACTTTTATATTCCCTTCCATGCTGCCCCTTAAACATAGGAGCCCCTGTAAAGAAATAAACAGGACACACGCAAAAACAGTACTTGCTTTTCCTTCAAATCTGTCTAAATCGGAATGTGCTGTCATGCCTGTAAATGCTAAAAAATGGTTAGGTAGCTGATACGTTATGACTGCTGCTTATTACAGTAATCATAACCATCTTGCTGTTGTTCAGTCTCTGTTTCTATTCTCTTGTTTTCTCATTTTGTTCAGTTCTATTATAAGCTCTTTTGAGCAGGGGTCATTGTCTTGTACATGTGTGGTGCATATGAGGGAATTATAGAGACTTGAGGAGTTGGAACCACTGCCAAAAAATGAACATAAAGCTTAATATTCTCCCTTAAATGAGCCAGCTTCTCATTCATCATTTCACAGAGAACTGGCAGTACGAGAAGTATTACTGTACAGTCTTCCTAAAAGAAGCCTGTAAAGATAATCCAGTCTGAGGGGAAAAGTTTGCTGTCATGGCTAAATCATCTAGAAAGGTCTCCAAATGTTCTGGAGCTAAGATAATGTTGTGGTATAGAATATACTCAAGGATTAGTGTGCATACTCTGTGAGTTTGAGTGTCCATCCTTGTTGATTTATATGAGTAAAGATAAATGGATATGAACAATATTAAAATGTTCTGTAGATAGTATGTGCACATTTTCAGTCAAGGCCCGTGCACTTAGAGAGCTTTCAATGTGAGGGAAGTCAGACTTAACAGGCCACTTCATGCATACTGATCACAGCCTGAATCAAAAAGTCTACTTTAAAAAACCTAAGAGACTTGGAGCTCCAGAAGTAGAACCACTTACTGAACAGAGATGAGGCCCATTTCGCCAGTAGCGACAGACGCATGATTTGATTAATATGTAGGCGCTCATTTATTTTTCGCAGACCACTGATCAGCAGGTCCATACAGATAGGTTGTGATGATTCAGACAAAAAGGGGAGAGAGATTATCAGTGGTATAGGTTCAGTCTGTACTGAAAAGCTATGGCATATAGAAAAGTGGAAAAAATAATTCCTGGTTGATACAGCAATGCAGGCAAAAACCCTGGTGTGGGTGTAGGTATGCTGCTGGAAAAATACTTCTGTTGGCTTAACTGTGTCAGTTGAGGAGGTTATATATCTACACTGACACCAAAAATGCCTGTCAGCACATGCTGCTTCTGCACTGGCTCTGCCAACATAGCTGTGGATGCAGAGGCTCTGTCATGCTCAGATAAGAGAGCCATGATTTTGTGACCTAGCTAACATGCTTCCATTTCCTAAATCTGTTAGTTTAGGGTCCTTTTTTTGGCTTGCAAGATCTGAAACTTGAGCTTAACAGTAGCAATTGACCAAAGTCTGAGGAAGATGTGTACGTACAAAGTGACAAAAAAGTATAGTGAAGCTGCTAGTTTTTAAAGTAGGGACTGTGGATTTGAGTTCTTGTATACTCCTAGATGGGGAACTTTATGAAAATATGTATTTGGCTTGTTTTAGGAGGGGAATGAAGAGAAAACAGCCTCTTAAACTCCTTTATGAGTGTGAGAGGATGTAGGAAAAACAAGCAGAAGACTGGCGATGTGCTATCCACAGGAAGGCAAGGGAAATGTGAGCCAGTAAGTGGCACAGAAGCTCATTCAGAGTAGGGATGTTGGGAGAGGAAGAGGAGTAGCAGATGTTACCACAATAGAGGCAGGAGTGGCAACATATAGTTTGGAGGTGAGGGTGACGTCAAGAGGGCTGTGGAGTCTGCAATAAGTAGTTCTGCCGACAGAACTGTTGGCTCTGGGTGTAAAAGGATGTTTGCAGGGCTCTTGATCTGGATGCAGCTTCTGCCAGCAGATTTTCTGTGGCTTGGGAGAGCTGGTGTATTTTTGGTTTTAGAAAAACTCTTGTGCTGCAGGATACACTCTACTAGCAAATCTTGCATTGTAGAAAATAGGGATGTGAACAGTTAATGTGACTGATAGTATTTAACCGATAAGCCCAGTGGTAACAGGTTGTAGCTTAGTGCAGGGTGGGGTGCAGTCTGGCAGGGAAGGGAAACTATGTGGTGCCCTAGGAGGTGCCCTAGGAGGAATCGAAGGTGGCAGGGCAGGTGTGAGGGGGGAGTGAGGATGGGGAGAGAGGATTAGTACCTATAGTTTGACTCCACAGAGTTGCTTGCAGCCTCCCTGCCTGGAGGTTCATAGAATTTAGCTATTGGGTACTAGTTTCTCTTCTTCCTGCTCCTGCCTCCCTCCCACCTGCTCTGGGGTTCCCATACCGATTTAATTGTTTAACCATTGTAATTACAACAGGATAGTTTTAAATCTCTATTTACATCTCTAGTAGAAACAAATGGGGGAACTTATGAATTGAGAATGCTGACCTGCTTCCTCAAAACAGTGAGGCTGTTTCAGTGTTTCACTAGATCGGGCTGGGGGTGGGGAGTCAGCCCAGATGGACTGACTTCCCATCCCCAGCACTATGGTTGAAATGTTTAGACTAGCCTGGTTTTGTTTCGAGGCTGTTTCAAAGCCCTTTGTTTTGTTTCGATTTTGCTGTTTCAACCTTAAAATGAGTCTAAATGAAGTGGCCAGTGAAATTTTGCACAGCCCTACTATGCAGGCAGGGGGAGGAGGTGAATCGGTCTCTCCCAGGGAAGGTGAAATTTTGTAGCTGGATTTAGGTGGAAACTATGAAGCCCACAAAGAAAAGGATGAATTTTAGCTGAGACCAAGATTGCAAATAGCTTGTCTGCTTGCTGTTTACTGTTGGGCAACTAATATGTTTGTTATGAAGTAGATGTTTTGATTCTTTCTAATCAGTTGCTGGTAACTGGCTTGCAGAAGAAAGTGTCAAATCCATTTTTCCTATTGTGAGAATACGGTTGGAAATGAGGGCTGTTGCCCCAGTCTGAATAGAGGACCCTGCTGTGTTGTTTGGAGAAGCAAAGGTGCTGTGCAATCTGTCATTTGAAGTGGGCACTGAGAGGCTACAGAGGGGGTGTAAAACATTTCTCATCCCTTTACAGCTTGATGGGAAAAGAGGGGCTTGTAGCCAGGTAATCCAGTCCAAAGGACAGGGAATTGTGGAGCTGTACTCTGGGGAAAAGTGCAGGTAAGTGCTTCTGTCTTGAAAAGCATGTCCTGTGAGAAATGAGAGAGACCTCGCTCCTAAATTATGACAGAAGGGATCTCAAGTTTACTGAGCTGCTCTAAGAATTGATTTAAATGTTTCTTTTACTTGCTTAAAGATCTTGTTGTTGTGTACCTACCAGACCTGTTCATTCACTTAGTGTTGAGTTTTCTTTTTCATTTGTCATATGCTTGCTAACCTATACCAGGTAAGGGCTGGTGCTCTAGCAGGTGAGCATGTTTGTAATGTGCCATAACTCACTGCACAAACTTTAATTGTTCTGTGTTTGTATGATTTTATTTTTTCAAACATGAAAAACTTGAAATTGAACATCGTTAATCTTCAACTGTGTTGCTTCCAACAGCATTGAAAAGATGTGTAGACGCTATTTAGTTTGTGCATTTGTGCATATAACCCAGATTCACAGTTTAACCTCTTAATGTGGTTTAGTATTTTGTGTTTGGGTGTTTTTTTCCACTTCCTTTCCTTTTGAAATGCATGTTAACAGAGTGGCTTGTACTTCTGACAGCAACTTCATTTTGCTGTTCTATTTTATGCTATATACAAGTGAGTCTGCTTATTTTTCTGCAGCTTCTTTTAAACTTTTTGGTGACATGTTTTGAAATTTAGCTACCTTATTAGGTGGTGCTTTTTTGAAATTATGGTATGGCTGTCTGTATCAGCATCTGTGTTGAGAGAGACTTGTGGATTTGTTAAAATCGTAGATAAAATGGTTTTCTATTTCTTCTGCCTTATTTATGTATTGCTGAATTCTGCTTTCTAGTACTTAATGAATGAGTCTTATCTGAAGTTTTGGGAAAGTGCTTTTCTCACAGAAAAAGTAGAATTCAATCTGCTGTTTGACCTCATTTTGTATCCCTTGTTACGTTTAAATCTGGTTCTAAAGTATTTGATTAAGTTGCCTCACCTGATAATTGATTAGGGGAATGCTTGTAGATAACCCAGACTCGTACAGCACTCTTATATGTATTGATGCTGCTTGCTTTAGTAATCTTCCCAAATATCTTGCTCTATGAAGGTGAGCCTGTTTGCCCTTTAAACCTGACTTCAGTATACATTTTTTTTCCTTTGGTAAAAGGTTCATATTGATCAGTCAATAAAATTTGCAGAATTTTTTCACTTGCTTTTTCTTGTTTTAGTTTAAATAAATCAAATATTTCCTCCATGTAACTGAGCACACTCGATCTTTGCTCCACTGTACATAGAATTTATAGGGTTTTTTTTTTTTGGTCCAACGTTTAAAAAGAATCTCTTGCCAGATGTGCTGACTTTTAACTTTATGTAGGAGGCAGGAAAGCATGATTTTTCTTACTGCATCTGCAGGTTGTTACAAGGGTTGCAACCATATTTATATAATATAGTAACTCTAAAAAATTTATTACATGAAACTGGCAAGGATTTTTGTGGGTTGTCTTCTATCAGACCAACTGCACAGTTGGGATACGCATAGAGGAGCTTGTTGGAGTTGAGTTTCATAATTTTATAGACAGAGGCTGGAAGGGACGTCATGAGAGTTGCTTGTCAGTGATATTGCAACTGTGATGGCCCAGCAAATATGTGAAAGCAAAGATTTTTGTGGGTAGTATCTTTTACTGGACCAACTGCATGAACGCACACCAATAAGTGCTGCCTTTGCACCCCTGCTGCTAAATTTCTGGACCTGTAGGTTGCAGCACCAGCTTGGTGATGGCCACATGCACTGGATCATGCTGGTGCATGTGGCTGGGCAGGTTGCGCAGGGTCACACTGGCTGGATCCAACCCCACATTGGATCAGACCCATGGACTGGCCCTGCACCATTCATCTGGCCCACGAGGCTGGAAGGTTGACTACCACTGAGTTAGACTAAGCTTGTCTATCAACCATGCCATCCAATAGGAGACAGCATCCACAAAAATCCTTGCCTCTCATGTGTTTCTTTGACTATCACTCCTACTCCAATGCTACTTGTACATAAAACTGCTTGTCTAATCATTTCCCTTCTGATGTTCTTTGTCCTCTCATTTATTTTATAATTAATCTGCATTTGCCAGTTTTAAGCTCAGTGACAAATTACCTAAATTTCTCTGGCTTCATTGTTTGCAGTGTTTTCTAACTGCAAGCAATGTGCAACAAGAAAATCTTGATTTAGATGGACAAAGCTGTGGGTCCAGTGCAAATCTTAAATAAGTAACCTGATAATGTGGGAATATGGCTTCTTTCTTGAGAGTTGGGTTAATTCTTTTGCATGCCTCCAGTTCGGATGAAGTAGTCATGTTTTCTGAAAGTGTAAGCAGATCATTCACTATAACCTCTAAGCTCCTGACACTGGTCACAGAAATATTGAGAGGTCTTCAGCTATTGTGTTCTTCTGTACAAGATGTGATTATGGGATGTATGGAGAAATCATTTCTTTTCATTCCTTATTCAAAAAAGAAAAGAGGTAACTACATCAAATGACAACTTTTAAATGGCTTTTGCAAAGTAGTTTTCTTGTTTGAATTTATTTATTGGTGGTGGCTTAAAAATATGATTTGGTACCTATAAGAGAGTGCATGTTATCGACAACAATTAACTTTATTCTCAGAACATTTGTAGTATGCTTATGTTAATGTAGCCTGGATTAACTTTAAATTGATGTTGTGGATATAAACTCTCTTTAATTGTGCCCACATAAGAGTTTGCACCAGTGTAACTTAACCAATTAAATATAAGATTTAATTTGATTTGTGCAACTCTTTAGTGGGTTATCAATGTCATATGAACCATAACTTGTTCCTGGACCCTAAATAAACTCCAGTAATTTACATTTGATTCATAAATGTCTTTGGAATATTCTTCCCCAGCCTTGTAGATTCAAAGGAAGTAGGAGTGCTCACTGAAAATCCTACACTTGTGAGCTAAAAAGCTTTGTAAAGGAAGTGATGAGGCTTATGTGGAAAGGTGAATACCCCTATACTTTGCTTCATCCTAATGGATTTGTACAAGTCTTCAGGAAGGATAGAAAGAAACAGGAGGGTGGGATGGAATTTTCCTCCCTTTCATTGACCTCTTTTTTTTTTTTAAACAACATCAGGGAAACCCTGGGAGTCTTGGGCCTCGTTTGGGCATTCACTTTCTCTTGGGAGAGTTGCATCTTTCCGAGGAGAAACAGAGTGTACAGTTGTTCAGGCTTTTCTTCTCAGAGTAAAAATGACCACTGTAGGAGTAGGAATAACCAGGGTTAAATTGCTCCCAGCAGAGTTCCTCCTGGGAGAGCAAATGTCTGTACATGCTGTGGCTTCTTTCAGAATAGAACATAGTTCTCCTGCATTTCTCCCCACCTAGTTGCCTACAACCCATGAGTTTTGAGTGGGTTTCTCAAGTCCACTTTTTTGAGAGCCCAAGAAAGCTGCAGACAGAAGTTTAAAGGTACTTAAGTGCTTAGAGTTGGTGTATGTTTGTGTTAAAATACACTTAAATGCATTTAAAAATGTGTTATTTTTTGTCTATACATACAGGTCATTAGGAAACTTATTGAGATCCTATTTCCATGCGACTTTGGAACAGCTAGTATAAGTGCAGTGATTTTTTTTTTTCTCCCCTCCCACCTTAATGAAAGATTAAGTTCTGAGCAATGTTTGTTTAAATCAGGGGTGGGCAGTTATTTCAGGTGGATGGCCGCTTACTGAGTTTTGGCAAGCCATCGAGGGCTGCGTGACAGGCAGCCAGGGGCAGATAAATATTAATTTTCTAAATTTTTACAGGCCCCACGGGCCAGATAGAATGCCGTGGCAGGCTGCATCTGGCCCACGAGCTGCATTTTGCCCACCCCTGGTTTAAATGCTTTAGTAAGATCATCAGGACAGTGCTCAAACTGTTTAACTCCTCCATACTTGGAAAGTTGTAATTTGGTAATTCTCATCTGATTCATTTAAAATTCTGAAATAAAACAAGTCTAGTTACCATTTTTTTTAAGGTTATTTTTCATGGATTTGTTTTGAGTGCATGTGTTCAGGTGACATGAGTAATAAAGTCACTCTTATGCTGGGAATTTATTTTGCATACTTCTTCCTATGGAGTGGCTGCTATTGCTCCATAATAATTAGAAACTGTTCTCTAATAGTTTCAGTAACTACTGAACTATTTTAAGAGTGATGAAATAAAGCTTTAGACTCTTCGGCAGTTTGCCAGAGCCAATGCTTTGGTGTTCTGACAGAAAAAAGAAATCGGTGTTTTAAAGGGAAATGTGTAATGATGGATTAAAAAACCCCCAACGCTTTTCTGACAACGAGTTGGCTATTCCAGTGTTAGAAAAGAACATACAGAGTGCTTCCTGCACTGGCAGGTACTGTCAATGAGAACTTGATCTTCTCAACCATTGCCTATAGATCTTAATTTAGAATTTTGTTTGTTGCCTTATTACTCCATTAAGTCTCAAGTAAAGTTTAATTACTTGACTCGAGTTTCCTTATAAAGCAGGGGAAATAACAGGTGTGCATTACATGTTTGTCTTCCCTGGGTAAGCTAAAATAAACAACTTGGTTGACTTCCAACACAAAAGTTGGGTGGTAAGAAAAGGACTTTGCCAGGTAGTATTTTGGATATTTTAATGATATATGTGAGAGCTGTCCAGCTTCTAAGTGGCTGGGGTTGCACGCCCCTTGGGTTATCCCAGTGGGAGTTGTGGGCCCTCAGGCCATTTGCTGTATGGACGCTGCTACCTTCCCTCCCTCCACTCCCATTGTACCCAGAGACCCCCTCCCCATGCCCAGTGTTGTAGCACATACCTGCATGGGTGCCCCACACATTTGGCACTGCACATTTTGTGGCCCAAGCCTCACCCCAAGCCGCCCATGCTGTGCCACACTGTTCCCTGCAGTGAGCTCAGAAAGTAGAAGCCAGAGGAGGGAGGGGGAGCCCAGAGACTGGCTACTACTGGAGATGGGCTCCTACCTGACCACCACTCCAGGAACTTCAACTTAACCTGTTCTAGGCTACAC